TGTATCCCCATACGTGAATGTGCAAGATTTATGTAAACGAAACAGCTTTCTGGAGCGAGCGAATTAATAGAGAGCAACATAAATTGGATATTAATTGAACTGCAGAGCTTTGTTGGACAAGGTATCGCCAGGTATCAGGCAGGAAGATGTAGTGCAATAATGGCATACATTTATTTGAGTTGCTATGTCGTCAAGAACCCGTCTTAATTGAGGCACTGGAACCATGCAGGTCATCTCGGGCATGGTTGAGACTCTGGGTCTTTGTTTGGGTGGAACTGAAGGTCACCAGAGAGCCAGTTCGAAACCGCAGAGTGGTTATATATTTTGGGGTTGCGTCTCTTGTATTATGGCGCTGTCCTCGAGATGGGATCGAAACAAGATCCCCGGCGCACAGATGCAGAGCTGTTGTAATAGTCTTGATTTCATTCGGCAGGCAGAAACATGCCGTTTGATTAGAATAGGTGTGTAGATGTTTTATTACCGTTGAGATTTCCAACAAATGCCGCTGAATCGATGAAACCTTAATGTTTTCGCATTCCGTAGATGCGCTGGGTTCTAAAAAAGGCAATTGAAGAAAGATGGCCAACGTTTCTAGGTGCGATGTGACGTCTCTGACACGCACAAAACGTATGTTGTTCGAAGGAGGCCCATTTAGTGGATTTACGAGGAGATAAGGATTTACGGGCAACGTTTTTGGCACTCCGGAAAGGCCGGAAAAGGCAAAAACGCGCGGTTATCGTGAGGTGCGACACTTGTGCACGGTGAAATTAGAACTATGTATGAGGTAATTTAACGTGCACGTACGAGAGGGTAGACTGAAATTCGAGATGCGAGAGACTCTCAAAGGCAGACCTCGTGCATCAGATTGAGGATGTGGTCGAGTGAACCGCACCCGACACATGTCCTAGATCCATCTGGAAACACACCCAGACCGCCCATTTGGATATCGATTCAGGGCATTGAGGCTTTGGTCCACCCCCTCCACTTCAGCAAAGATTAGCGAGAAGAGAGTGCCGAGCGTGAGGGCATCGTAGTGATATGCTCACCGGAAAAGCTAGTGAGAGTTCTTTTGGGGCGGCATCGGGCAGAACCTGCATGGTGCACACATCGAAGCGCACAGCATAGAAGCGCGGGTGTGGTCGTATGTCATCGGTCAGACACATACATATTTCCTTCAGGAAATTTTGAACTGGACGGTTAGTAGTAAACGGCGCGTGAAGGAGTAGGTTGACCGCCGGTCCAACCTTGGTGCTGCGTAGAATGAAATGTTATATGCACAGATTTGACGTACTGCCCAAGCGATGGCTGTGTGATTATGGAGCTGCAGGGAGGATGAAGCTCTCTGACTAGAGGACCATGAATGCAATTTTCGTTCATGGTGGAAATTCAGGTGGGAATCTGAAATCTGTCGGAATGTTTTGGGTTTTACAGCAGTTGGATCAACTAAATGGAACCGAGCTGGTTCGCGGTCAGACAAATGTGATTCGATGACACACATCAGTGGAGAAAGGACTTGAGCGTCAGAGTTCAATTTTTGTGACGACATCCTGACGAGTTTGCTTTCAGTTGGAGTCCACAGAGTGGCTTCCAAGCAGTGCTTGCTGCTGGTGAACGATCGAGGCAGCACTGGAATGGGCAAAGACAGGCGGCGCTGGCTTGTCCTGCTACCACCATTCTCCAGCAAGACTTGGCTGTAGGATTTGAAACCCCGACACCAAGGCCCAGCAAAGGGGTATCGGCTCAATTTAGTACTCTTGGCCTGGTTTTGTTACAAGGCTGTACACGCCAAGAACTTTTACAGCTTTGTCAAAATCGGATAAAAGCGTTCGGGTTGGTTCTCCCCACAATCTTTCCTCCCACCACCACCAACACATGGCATCCTCCAGCAATGAGGGTAATAACATACCGTCCATTAACATAGTCACCGACCTTGCCTCGACGACATCGCTCGTCAATACCAGCAACGTGCCTCCAAGCCAACACACTGGCCTGCTGTCACCTCGCACCACAGCGGGGTATAATACCAGAACTCCTGACGATGCCCCATCTTCCCCCTCCGACCAGTCTGACGCTGGTTCTTCAGCACCTCCATCTCCCACTCTCTCAAATCACTCATCTGGCAACTTTAATACTACCCTCGCTTTGCGTGACAACCAGCCAGAGTCCAAGACCGGTCTTTCCTCACTCGCTCTTCTTTCTCCTGAAAACGCGTCTTTATCCACTCGTCGCCCAAGCAACGCGACCATTGGCACTATGACGGATGTTGGACACTCAAAGTCTGACAACGACCTCCGGCATGTCTCCTCAACCGCCACTTCCGTCACTCATGTTGACACAGCGTCTCATTTGGGCTCTAGCAGTAAAAAGGAGAAGGTAGAGGAATCAACCAGCGACGACAAGGATGCCAAGAAGAAGAAGAAAAAGAAGGGCGATAAAGCAGAAGACGACAAGACTACTCACCAGCTTGAATTGGAGCAAGACGCCGCTATCGACCCTGCCCCATTCCCTTTCAAGCCATATCAATTGGCCCATATGCTCGATCCCAAGAACATCGACATTCTTACAAGTTTTGGAGGAGCCGCTGGAATCATCCGCGGTCTTGGCACACATGCTGATCATGGGTTGTCAACGACACCCTCCGCCGAGTTGACGCCTCAGGATAATGTCGGAACAGGCCAGGGTGCACCACAAGACTTGGAGAAAGGAAGCGACAAATTTGTCCCCGCCATTACCCTGACGGCCCCAGGCGGCCACGTCAGTTCGCCTACCGTTGGTCGTAACGATATCCCAGTTATTGCCACCTTCGAAGACCGTAAACGGGTATATGGTGCCAATGTCCTTCCTACCCGCCCCAGTAAGACCCTGCTCCAGCTCATGTGGATGGCATTGAAGGACAAGGTTTTGGTGCGTAGTTCCATATTTATTTCTATTTCTTTTGTTTTCTTACAATTGTTTTTAGATTTTGCTGTGCGCCGCCGCCGCCATCTCTCTCGCATTGGGTATCTACCAGGCCCTGGCACCCAATAGGCCCCACCCAGAGGAACCTGCTGTGGAGTGGGTAGAGGGCGTTGCAATTATCTTGGCTGTAACGATCGTGGTAAGCGCAATTCGGGTCTCAACAATTTACGTATCTCAATGCTCTGGTCCAGGTTGTTGTTGGTTCTCTGAACGACTGGCAAAAGGAACGCCAATTTAAGGTGTTGAATGAGAAGAAGGAAGAACGTGGCGTCAAGGTTATTCGCGATGGCATTGAGAAGGTCGTTGACATCAAAGAAGTGGTCGTCGGTGACATTGCTTTGTTAGAGCCAGGTGAAATCGTCCCCTGTGATGGAATATTCCTGTCCGGGCACAACGTCAAGTGCGATGAATCTGGTGCTACTGGAGAATCGGACGCTATCAAGAAGCAGCCTTTCGAGGAAATCATCGAGCAATACAAGAAGGCTCGTGAAGAAGGTCGCGACCCTCACATGCTGCATAGTGATTGCTTCATGATCAGCGGCAGCAAGGTTTTGGAAGGTGTTGGAAAATATGTTGTCGTTGCTGTTGGCCCCAAGAGCTTCAATGGTCGCATTATGATGGGTATGTTCTGCTTGCTCTGTTTCGAAATTGGCGCTAACTTCGGTGCTTACAGCTCTTCGCGGTGATACCGAAAACACCCCTCTTCAGCTGAAGCTGAACAACCTCGCAGAATTGATTGCGAAGATCGGTGCCGCCTGTGGTCTAGTTATGTTCATCGCGTTGATGATACGGTTCTTCGTACAGCTTGGTCGCGGCGTTCCTGAACGGCATGTCTGGCCCACATTTGATTCCGTTCATCCACTGACATTCACAACAGAACCTCTAGCGAAAAGGGTACCGCATTCGTCAACATTCTCATCATTTCCGTGACTCTCGTCGTCGTTGCTGTCCCTGAAGGTAATGGCTTCCAATATACCAGGAATGCACGGTTTCTGACCCTGGTTCAGGTTTGCCCCTTGCCGTCACATTGGCATTGGCTTTTGCCACCAAGAGGATGACGCTCGAGAACCTTCTCGTCCGTGTCCTTGGCTCTTGCGAAACCATGGCCAACGCCTCCGTCATTTGCACTGATAAGACCGGCACCCTCACCACCAACGCCATGACCGTCGTTGCGGGCTCCGTCGGCGTCCACTGCAAATTTGTCCGACAATTAGACCAAAATGCTGCGCGTACGAACGCCGATGAGACGGAGCAATCCAAGTCTACCGGTGAAGTTACCCGCAAAGATCGTGACGACTTTTCCATTGACCAAGGCCACCTCAACGACGCCCTTCCTCCTGTTGTGCGCGACTTATTCAACGAGGCCATCTCAGTCAACTCTACTGCATTCCAAGATGTTCACCCTGAAAGTGGGGAGAAGATCTTCGTGGGCAGCAAGACCGAAACCGCTTTGCTGCAATTTGCCAAGGAACTCGGCTGGCGTGACTTCAAGGAAACTCGAGATAGCGCCGTTGTCGTACAAATGGTGCCTTTCTCGAGTGAGCGCAAGGCCATGGGTGTTGTTGTCAAGCGTCCGGACGGAGGTTACCGCTTCTATTCCAAGGGTGCCAGTGAAATCTTATCCCGCCGATGCAGCCATCACCTCGTCATAGACCAGGATGGAGGAAATGGTCCAAATGAGATCCAGGCAATCGAGATCGACGAAATGGCTCAGCAGAACATCAGTCGCACCATCATCTTTTACGCCAAC